GCTGCGCACTTGGACCCCTTCACCATCAAATCCACCGTACCGCAGGCTACGCACTTCCAGTCCATCTTCGTGTCTGACTCCGACCACTCTGCCTCCTTGGGCAGAATCGTACCCAGATGGACATTGGGCACCAAACGTCGTTACAACCTCCCCTTCAGTTCATCATGGAGTCGCGGGGCTGACGCTAGGATTTCCTTCAGGGTCATGAGGTCATTATGCCCTTCCAGCAGCCGGTCAATCACCTTTTCTACATCAAATCCTTCTTCCAACGGGACCGCGTATTTCTTCCTTTTGGGCGGTCCGTCGCTCACGACCGGCTCGACCTCTCCCCTAGTTCCCTTTTTCCTCGCCCGCAACTCCGCTTTCTGATCCTCCTCCCTACGCAGCCTCTCGTCCTCTTCCTCTTCATCGTCATCATCATCACCTTCTACTTCCACGGCCTCCTTTCTCTGTTCTGGCTCCACCTCCCTCCTCGGAGGTTCTTGGCTGGCGCTGACTCTGGCTTGATTTCTCGTTCGCGCTGCCTGCGCCAGCCGTGCCTGCGGAGTGAGGGGTCTCCCCCTCATTCCTGATTGTGGGCATGACCCCACCACATTTATTCCGGGTCGCCCAGGTGCTGATTCCGGACCGGAGTCGTAGAGGAACACCTTGGGGACGCTAGATTTTCATCTCTTCACTTCCTCACAGAGGCCCACCAGCTTCCGTTGGTACCTCCCCATCTTATCCAGCAGGTCCTCCATCTTCCCATATAAGACGGATGGAGGCTCCATTCTTTCCTCCCCACTTTCGTCTTCTGCCTCAATGATTATGGGCTCTTTCTTCTTACTCCCTCCTAGTAGCCTTTGAACCACTTCCTCATCCCTCTTCACTTCCTCCTCCCCAATCAGGGGTTCCACCTTTTCCTGCCATAACCTGAACATGGCAGGGGGTTGCGGCCCAGCTGCCGCTCTTCGTTGGGCTTCAGCCCTCACTCCTCCAAACCTTCTGTCGATGGCCTCCCCAAACTGATCATAGATATTCCCATCCATAGTAGAGGAAATCAGTCCGCTTCTCTCGTCATCCCGTCTGATATTACAGAACCTTATAGTGTGGCCTTGCTGATCACAATGTTGACAGATGGCCGTCCTCCAGTCAAAACGGGGTCTTCCATAACCCCGACTTCCCTGATCCCCCTGGCCTTGATACCCCTTGCCTTGATAGCCCTGGCCTTGATACCCCTGGCCTTG